AAGGAAACGGGTGACAGAAAAATTGAAAAGTTGAAGGTTGTATGAGTCAGGAAAACATAAACATGGGAGAGAGTTCCTAAGAGTTAAAATGTGGGTAAAAAAACTAGAAGAATAAAAGTTTTTAGAGCATGCAAGTACAGATACAGTAAATAAATGAGACTTAGCTGAATGATGAGTCAAACAAGAATAAGTTTTAGTTAATGGAACAAGAGATGATTGATAAATAAGACTGCTTTGAGCAGTGTCTATGATAGTATTTGTAGAAAAGAGGAAAAAATGCAGCTTTATGATGATGTGAAAGCTTAGCATATAGAGTGGGTCCAACTATGTTTACAATGCATTATTGGAACTTGTCTAGAATATATATATCTAGACATATTGGCTCCCTGTTTAAAGCTGTTAAAAAGGAGAAGACTTTTTGTCAAAACGGGAGTAAAAAGTTGAGTCATCAGCAAATAAAGCCACTTTAGATTTAAAGTTGTCAGGAAGATCATTAATGTAGATAAGAAACAAAATAGGACCAAGGATAGAACCTTGAGTAACCCCAGATGTTACTAGAAGTGAATTGGAGTGTTGGTCTTCGAGGATGGCTTTAATAAAATAGTTATAAAGCAATGATTTAATAATCTCAAAAACTTTCCTAGATAAAACTAGTGCTTCCAATACTGATACCATTTTTCAATACCGGTATATCGGTACTAAATAATTACAATACCGGTAATACCGGTATAATACCGGTATTAAACTTTATTTTTAAATTTATCATAGTCTAAATAAAATCTCAAGTTAATAGTAAAAATTTTATTGATTCAATCAGCTTATTTATTTTATATCAAAACAACTGACTTTTTCATTTTTCGCTTTTTTCTGCTTTGTAAAATGAACCCGTAAAAAACATAGGGCGTTCAGAACATCATCTTCAAAAGATCATCTAATTTTGTTGGCTTCACAGTTTTCAAGTAATGGTAGGAATTTAGCAAATATATACAACGATTTCCTCCTTCTTCAAAAATTCCTATTTCAATACATATAATTTTTGATGAATTATTCGAAACATTCAATTTTCCCTTGTTGTTACATTTCTTATTTTTCAAAATTGCAAAGTCAAGCTTTTTTTTCAATGACAAGTTTACAGCGTTGTCCACAGAATCACTATCGGAAAAAACGCTGGTGAAAAGGAGAGGACTATACTCTTTCTGATTGAGCCGATCTTTTAGTCGAGTAATGGTATTTACAATGGCTAATTTGCTATGGTGCTCAAAAGATAGAGCTAGATCCAAATTCTTGTAACGTTGATGTCCCTTGTGCAAAAAATGTTGTATGCTGGAAAATGAGTACGTTGCTCATTGAATTGTTGCACCAACATAACTTTACAGCTAAATCGATTTCTCAAAGGTTATCTATCATGAAAATGTTGTATCGGCACACAACAGAGTTGCATGATTTTGGCACAATGTTTCCACAGCCAGTTTTACTGGCGTAAGACTTAAGTTAACAGCTAATATTGCATCGGACTCATTATTAGTTACCTCAACGTTGGACTCAAGGGCAAAAAGTGACTCGTGAATGCATTTTTTTAATTATACAAAACGTTCGAGTACTGTGTGCAAGCTAACCCAGCTAGTTTTGGATCCAAGTATTAGTGGAATATCTTTATAAAATTTTTCTAACCTGCGTTTTTGAATTTTGATCATTTTTTGTCGGAGAACGGCGAAATAAAAATTTCACAACGATGCGCACCTTTTTGATTAACGGCTGCAAATCATCAGTCAGTTCAATAGAGTCATTCTCTTCACTCATTACAACTCGAAACCCGCCGGAAAAGTCTTCATCATTATTGGTCATGTCATGTTTGTGTCATCAGTATTTCCTCGTCACTTTCTCTGTTATTGCATATTACTTTCAAGTTTTTTTTGCAGAAGTTGACGATTTTTTTGTACAAAATATCTTGAATACCTAGTTGAATCCCATGCCTAATGCACAACTGTTGATCACAGTTACTTAAACGCCCCACTTTCTACATTACCGAAACTTTTCATATTTACATTAGTGTAAAATTCAAACATGCATTCTACATTAAAGCGCGGAACGTAATGATAATATTTTAAATTGGTGCTTCATTATTTAATGAAAACACGAAAGTAAATGGAATACTTAAAACTTCCAGTCATGATCAAACAACGCTTCCGGTAAGAAAAAGATAGCTAGATGACAAAAAACGTGTTTAAATCGTCTAAAACAAGTATTCTACGTATTTTATACGTCTTAAACGCTAGCTGTTTGCTGGCTAGTTGCTAGCTCATTTCCTACCAAACCTAGTGGGAAATGAGCTGGCAACTAGATATTAAGTATAAAGTACGTAGAATACTTGTTTTAGACAATTTAAACACGTCTTTTCTCATCTAGCTATCTTTTTCCTACCAGAAGCGTTGTTGAAAGTTTTAAGTATTTCATTTACTTTAGTGTTTCACGTAAAGAGGGCGATAGCACCTGCTATATCATAAACCCTCTACATATATTTTTAATACCGGTATTGAGCCAAACCAATACCGGTATTTCGGTACTTAAAAATGTCTGGTAAAACCGGTACCGGTACTACCGGTACGGGTTTTACCAGACATTTTTAAGTACTCCGGTACTTAAAAATGTCTGGTAAATTACTATTTTTTAAGTATTCCGGTACCGGTACTACCGGTATTGGAAGCACTAGATAAAACCATATAAAACAAGCTTATGGGAAAGACCAGCATGCCAAGTTTTGTCAAAAACTTTAGATATGTCAAGAATAGTAGCCCTAGCCTCTCCGCCTCCATCTAATGCATGAGGAAATCTTTCGGTCACAACAGCTAGCAAATCAGTCATAGAACGGGAGGATCAAAACTGTCTTGATTGCTTGACAGTAAGTTGTTTGACTCAAAATGAGACATAAGAAATTTTTTTATCAAAGACTCAAAGACCTTACTAATAACAAAAGAAGAATGGTTGGACGATAACTGGAGCTATTGAGAGATAGTGAAGCCTCCAGTTGACATGCTAAAAGACAACCTACTCCTATCCTATCCATGATCAGAATGTTCACCTGAGTTATATCCATGATCAGATCCATCTATCCATGATCAGAATGTTCACCTGAGTTATATCCATGATCAGATCCTTCTATCCATGATCAGAATGTTCACCTGAGTTTTTGAAAATTGGAACAACAAATGCAATTTTCCAAGAGGCAAGAAAATAAGACTCAGTCAAGCATTTTATAATTAGTTTAAAGAAAATAGAAAAGAGTTCTGGAGAACATTTTTGTAAGACTATGACAAGAATGTTTTTGGGACCCAAACCATAGAAAAGTTATGAAAAGAGATACGAATAATTTTTTTAAGATAGTTGTTAGTATCATTTTTATAAAAAAATGTGTTTGAAATTATTTTTAGATTTTTCAAAAATCATATTTTATAAGTGAACATATAAATTTTTTGACTGAATTTTATGGAAAAAATTAATTAGACACATAACATAAATAATATATTAAGAAGGCTTATGATAGAATTGATATTTTGTGTGACCTGCTTTAGCTTTTATTATAGCATTTAAATGTTTTTGCATAGATTCCAATAATTTTTTTGTAATATCAGAACTTGTTTCATCCCAAGCCTTTGTAACAGCAGTTTCTAATTCTGCCTTTGGCTTCAAGTGATGATTGCCTATTTGTTTATCTAATATCGACCATAAATTTTAAATTGGATTTATATCTGGACTTTGTGCTAGCCACTTAAGAACTTTTATGGATTTGGTTATAAAAATCCTGTTGTTTTTTCAAGTTATATTTCAGATCATTGTCATATTGAAATATAAAATTTACCTAATCTCGATTTACGTGCTGATGAAGTCAAATTATTACCCAAATTCATTGTATCTTTAATAAATTCAAGACACCATTCCATGACATACAGCTCTATATTTATTACCTCTTTCATGTTTTAAGGTTCCTTGCATGCAAATTACACAGTAAACTTCACCAGTTTCTCTCCAAACATTTTGCTTACTGTCAAAATGTACTAAACTGTGTCAAAAAAGTTTTTATATGTATAGCTTTTATACCCATTATTATATAAACGGTTTTGGATTGTTTTATCAGTTATTTTGGTTCCAGTGTTATTTTCAATTTATTCTGCAACTTTTCTGGATGACACAAAATTATTTTTTTTGAATAATCATACGTTTTTTCTTGAATAATCTTACGTCAATAGTCATATGTTTGCACCCATGTCCATTCAAAATCTTTACAGTTTGGTGACTTTCAAACTTTTTTACAATGTTTGAAATGGTGGAACATGGAACTTTTGATAGTCCTGTAAGTTCCTTTTTTGATAGTCCTGTAAGGACTTTTTTGGACTATCAAAAAAGTCCTGTAAGGACTTTTTTGATGTCCTTTTCAGGACTAGGACTTTTCAGGACTACTTTTGATGTCCTTTTCAGGACTGATGTCCTTTTCAGGACTTTGAAGTCCTTTTCAGGACTATCAAAAAAGTCCTGTAAGGACTTTTTTGATAGTCCTGTAAGTTCCCTTTTGATAGTCCTGTAAGTTTTTTTTTTGTTGTTCTACTAAATTCAAAATTAATTTTTGCTAAATCTAGATTTTTCTATCGTATAGAACACCTTAAGAGGGTGGCATCATATATTTTTCAAAAAATTTGATTTTTGAACACCCTTATATATCGCATATATAAAATGTTTGTATATACTATTTAATATAATATTAGGTTTGAGTAAACTTACAAAAAGGTTTTAAAAATGAAAATAATTTATGTGCAAACAAAAAAAAATTTAGTAATTTTAAACGCTTAGTAGCTTCAAACACTTAGTAGCTTCAAAAGTATAAAATTGAGTTAAAATTATTAAATTGATTAACAAGCATTTTTTAATACTGTATACAAAAATTTATAAATTAGGTTGTTTTAGTTAATCAAGAGACTTCTCACTATGCAAATTTTTTTTTTATTTAGATCATGGTGGATAATGTTCAATTGTAAGTAATTTTATATAGTATGCATACAAACATAATTTTTTGTATTTTCTTTGTTGGTCTTATTGTTTTGTCAGTATTTCCAAACAAATGTGATAAAACCAACAAATGATGAGTTTAAAATTAGTAGGTAAATTAGGAGATAGTGAAGCCTCCAGTTGACATGCTAAAAGACAACCTACTCCTATCCTATCCATGGATGAACGAGTGACTCATTTCATTTGAATTTTGACTTTTGATATGCACTTTTTCCGTGCCTGTTTTGGTTGATGGAACTAGAGATGATAGCTCCTTTGAGCAGGGACCATGATAGTATTGGTAAACGAGAGAAATTAATCCAACCTTACGTTAATGAGAGTTGGCTGGACCTTGGTAGATAAAACAAGTCCAACTACACTTAAAATTTTTAGATCATGTCTACAAGAGTAAGAGTATCATGTCTCAATTAACCGGAGGCTAATTGAGACATGATGCTCATGAGACATGAATATTCCGGAGGCCCAAAACAGTATTCCATATAGGGACAAATAAGAGGTTTGTAGAGGTAGAGAATAGAATCAGGAGTAAGATATTGGCTTGTACGATAAGGAGAAGCAACCTTAGCAGATACTAACTTTGCAATTGATTGTATATATGGTTTCCATGAGAGATCAGTAATGAATAATAACCTGAGAAGACATAAAGTTGAGGACTTAATAAGGTTTTGTCATTCATTAATAGGAATGTTAACAATATTGCAATAGTTGTTTGCAATAAATATTGAAGTTTTGTTAGAGTTAAAATTCACAACCCATTGCAAACCCCAAGCTGCTACCGAAGAAAGATCAAATTCAAATTATCTGCTTGTTCTAAGGGATCGAAAAGAGAAGAATTTTTGTCAAGACAAGAGTTTTAAGTTGAGTCATCAGCAATTAGAGCCACTTTCAAAAAAAAATTATTTTTATATGCACTACTGGGCGACATGGCATCATGTCAAAATTGTAAAGGCATAGCTCCGAAAAAATGCAATTAATGTATTTGTCCTGAGGCTGGGCAATTCACAATAAAAACCTCATCAAAAACAGTTGGGTAAAATTTAAAGCAGAAGTTTCTAACCCAACTTTATTACCACATCTAAGGAGAGCAATAATGAAAGCTTGGTGCCATAAAAGAACGCCCAACTATTGTGAGTTTCTATTTGTCTAGGGGTGAGCAAAACCAGGTATATCGGTCGGTTTGTTAAAACTAAGGTGAACACCAAATTTTTCTGTTAAAAATACCTAATTTTGCGGATTTTACCTAATTTATCGAATATTCGAATATCCATTTAAATCGGATCAGTAACTGGATTTATCAAAATCTGAAACTAATTATAAAAACTGAAGTTTATTCTGCATATTTAAAGGCTTTTAAAATCCACAACTACATGTTATATACACAGTTAGCAATTTTACTTAAAGGTCTTCAACAATAACATCTTACCACCTTGATATATGAAAAACATTTGTCTTTGTTTTGCCATTTCAGAGAGGTCATTTTATTTCATTCTTACCAAAAAATTCTTGCAAAAAAGGCACTTCATAAAAGTATATAAAAGCACATATTAAAAGAATAAAGGTATGATATAAAATAATCAAGCAGACTTTCACATAAAAAATAATCAAGCAGACAAACACATAAAAAATGTGTAGTAGGGTAACTTAATTGAACCTCACTCACATCCGCACTGAAATTGATGTTGACAGGCTATTATTAGACTTGCACAGCTAAACTATACATCATTAGACAGCTTAATATTTCAGCTACAAAATGTAAAATTATTTAGATTTTATGAGAGTAGTTGGCAGTACCATTATAAATTGTACAGTGTGTCAAAAGCACTGATTCTCGCCCACTTGAACTCAATCTCCCCATGTTTATTTAAAGTCGCCCACTGTGTAAATAAAAAAAAAACTTATTCTTGCATAGGGCAACGTTATATACAGGTGAGTGAGATTAAATCTTGTTAGTTAATTTCTATGTTCAATTGCACCATTTTAATTAGAAAAGTATAAAACCATAGGGTTTTTGTGAATGCGAACTTTCTCCCTAGATTCTGACTTGAATCTGGATTCTGAGATCAATCTCAATTGTAATTGTAAAATGTGTAAATAAAGTATAGTTTCAACACATCAATGCTTACGAGCTGTAGTGATATAACAAATATTGTCTTCTTTTTGCCCCAGTCATGAGTTAAATTTTTATATTGAGCAGCCGTGGCGTAGTGATTAGAGCATGGTACTCATTGTATAAGTGTTGCGTGTTCAAATCCTGCTCGAAACACTTATATGTTATCGATAAAGCTTGAAATGGGGAACCAATTCATTAAATGGTTAAGCCCTTGTGGCAGTGCTTGGTGATAAAACCATTAGGTCTTATCACAAATAAGACCATTAGAGTATTTTTAAATAAAAATAATAAAAAAGTTTATATAGATAAGAGGAAATTGTATGCATTTTTAGTTATATAAAAAAATATTGTCAAATATTTAGTACATATTAGTCAGTATTGTTCTCGGGATCAACCAACAGTTGCGATTCAGATGATAATAAAATGAACTTCTTTTTTGTTGTTGCTATAGATTTGATGGCACGATTTTCTAATTTTTTTTTCATAGCCAATACCTTTTTTTCTTCTTTTTCTTTGAGTCGCTTAGCAGCATTATCAAATTGCAGTTGTTTTCTTTTGCATTTTTCTCTTTCCTGTTGGATTTTGTCTTGGTGATATTTCAGCTTTAATAAGTATGCTTCTTGAGAAGTTAAAAAGTATTTAAGCTGACCTTTTCTGTTCACTATCTCTTTGCGTACGTGGCCATAGGATATGCCAAGATATCATCATCTCCATCACCTGCATTGATAAAAACAAATATATTCAATAAAAGAACAAGTATTTATATAATTTTAAAAAATTTGAATTATTTTAAAAGTAAAACTTTATTAAAAGTTGCATTGTTGCTTTGCAACTATTAATCACTTGATCAAATGAAATGATAAAAAACTGTTAAATGATTGACTTACCAGGGTAGGAAGAGTTTGATGGTTCTAAGATTTCTTTTTTTTTGCTTAGTAAGATTGGTAAAACTATTCACAATGTAGTCAAAATTTTTTTCTTCAACTGGATTGACTAAATATGCAAGCTGATTATTACAAACAACAGTCTCTGCTTCCAAAATAGAAGCTTTTCTTTGTAACGAAAAGTCAGTTGCTTTATCTTCTTTAGTGCCATTTTGTAATTGTTCTAGATAATTAGCAATTTTTCAGCATCTATAGAAGCATCAAGGTCTGAAAAATTAATTTCTTGAACAATTGATGATTGGAATTTTTAAGAAAATAATAAATAATACTATTGAAATGCAAGTTAGTAAACTTTATGCTTCATTAAGAATTTTTATCAATTTGTACATAAAATGTCACAGTTGCTAGCTAAAGTTTAAATAATAATTTTTATTGTGTAGTAGTATTAGCAAAAACACGATATTACAATACTAACCAAAGAACAATTGTTTTTAGTTGTATTAACTGATATATCTTCAGCTATGTGTAGATAGTTTTGTAAATATGCATCACTAGGATTAGCCTGAGGATTAAATGGGTAAATTCCACACGACTTGAACCCAGATTGTAATGTTGCTAGAAGTCATTGCCTTTTCCAAGCTGAAACAAATATCCCTGCAAAATTTTAACAAAAAATGATAATTCCTGGAAACTGACCCATCAGATCTTGTGCTGTAGAGTGATAATAATCCTTCAGTGGCTTAAATAAGATGCGGTTGCATGATTGAAGCCAGTTTGATGTGTGTGAAGGCATTTCAACTATATGTATCTGGTTCTGAATAGCAATATCAATTAGCTCAATAAAGTTGTGAGAATTGTGCCCATCCTGAATCAATAACTGAAGATGTTGTTGGCCAATGTTTTTTAAAAATGTCTTGGTAAACCAAGACATTTTTAAAAATTCGATAGTGTTTGGACTAAACAGGGCCTTTTCTAGGCCCTGTTTAGTCCAAACACTATCGAACCAGCTCCAATTTGTTCCCGGAAGCGCGAACTCAGTGTTAAAACCCCATAAAGACCTGGATGTCTTTCCCTTCACTATAACCTGGGGTGGAATGAACTTGCCCTGTGCATTCCCACATGCAATAACATGGAAACCATTTTTCACCATAACGTCATTCAAAGCACTAAAGTACTTTGACTCTTTATCTTTATCCATACACTGATGTCAAACTGAAGCTGTACCCTCAGGTTGTCGCAGAGTAAATTTACGCCCATGCCGGTGTTTAACCCTAGTCCACCACTAGTTGTTTAGAAGTCCTTTCTTGAAGTTGAATTTATGTTTTGCAGCAAGTTTCCCAGCATAATTGCTCGCATAATCAATAGGTTTTTCTTCCAGAGCAAAAGGTAGGGTAGGTTTTCTTCCTGGCTTTGCTCCAATAACAACTTTTTCAGAAAGTCTGTCTCTCAGTGTTGTACACACTGAAAATGATGGCTCTGATCTGACATGCTTCATTGCACTCATCATATTTTCTTCACTCTATTTCAGGAATTTGCCCTGTTTCTTAACAGAGACTGATTGATCAATGGAATGATTGGAACCATTGACACAAGTTAAAGAAACACCAATTGTTAGTAGCTGTTTTATTTGACAAATGTTAAGAGTACTACTACCAGATGTTAAAGGAGTTATACCATCATAAAGATGAGTTATATTATAACATATTGTAGCCTCTGTTACAGAATCAATCTAACCAACTAACATCCGGTGAAATCTTGATAATGATCTTCATCCCCTACCTCTTGTTTTAACCATGTTTTTTTCAAGACAATACCTAGATAAATTAAATTGCAGTATGAATGTTATATTAATTTAATAAAGTGATCCAAATATACAAGACCTACAAATATTAACACGTGGTTGTAACCTAATCCCAACACTAGAACTTTGCAGTACTTAATTTACAATGAAGTAAATAAGCATTTAGCTAAGTAATTACAAAAGTCTATTAAAAAAGAATAATAACATTCTTATTATGCATAAAATGAGTTTTGGACCTTTTGAACCTAATGTTTTTGATCTAATGTTTTAGTTATTTTAATAACTAAAACATAAGTTCTTTAATTGAAAATGAATAAAACAATCGTAAATAAAATATGCATTATTTCTAAACACTAAAAAATTATTTCTAAAAAAAAAAACAGTATAAGAAGATAAAATTCCAAATTCTTTTTTACCAATAATTATCAGGAAGAGGAAATGCAATAACTGACAAAGTTTACTTATTTGCGATACTTCTTTGTTATTTATCTAGCTAATTTATTTGGTTTTGATGAACATTAGCTTTTTATACAATTACTCAACGCAGAGCCGTAGCAATTTATTTTTTAATTAATTTCCTTAAAAACAATACACAGAGGAAGAGTATTGTTTTGAAGGCAATCAAAAATAAATTAATGTGGGAATCGTCAATTTTTGTCAAAGCAATTATCAAGTAAATTTGGGGTTCATTTTTAGGATAATGCCAAGGATGTTGAATTAAGGGTAATTAATTTATAAAATAATTTCCTCAATAATATATAGAATAAAAATACATAAAAAATATTTCTTTTTTTCAATTAAGGTTATGCTCTTAATCCTTTTGAATCCTAATTATAAGTAAGTCCTAATATATTATGCTGCATCTATTCTCACCAATATATTTATTCTGTGGCGAGATTGAGTTAATTCGGTAGGTTGAGCAGAAAACAATATTATGCATATTCTACCATGTCAAACGATTATAAATGTTATTACAATCAAAGATTAAACATTAGAGAGCAAAATTAAATTATAATTTAACATGCATAATAAATAATAAACTCAGTAGATTTGCATCAGCTGGTCTGAATTCAGCAAATTAAGTAGCAAAAAAATTACCAAAAGCCAACAAATTTTCTTTGAAATTTTCTTTTTTATTCTTTTGAGGTCAAAGTTGTTTTGATGTTGATTAGGCTGGTACAGCGTGTGAGTTAACTGACATATAAGTAATTAAAGATGGCGGGCAAGATTGAGTGATGGGGGAAATTATGTAAAGTTATCCTAAAGTTTTAAAAAAAGTAAAAAGTTTGTTTCTCTTAATGAAGGTAAAATAAACACTTTGAGCATTTTTTAAATGCATTAAATATTTTTTAAACTTTTATTTAGTATTTACATTACAGATTTATTTAACTAATTTTAAATTAATTAAAAATATACATAAACAATATTCTTAAGTTCTAAATCTATTTGCATACTATCTTTATAAGTTTATTTGGCATCAATGTTTTAAAAGTTTCTAATTATTTTTGGCATTTATTTCATGCCTTTCATGTTTATATCCTGTTTAAACTGAAAATTAAATGGCTATTTGCATAGCCACATGTTTTAAAAATACATTAGCACAAACAATAGTTTTAATATAATCTATAATTATATCTATATATATTAATATAATCTATAATTATAAATAATGAAGATAAATATATAAATAAAATAAATACCTACAGTCATGTGATATTGAAATGGAAACACTTTTGAAACTTGATTACTTTTTAAAAATACAATATGTAACAATATTATTTATATAATTTAATCACATATTTAAAGTAGTTACCAAGAAAAAAAAGATTTATGTAAACAAAAAATATTGACAAAAAAAATCAAGAAAATATTAAAGGACGCATTTTCTTGTTGGTACAACTTGAATATTTGTATAGAATGATTAAGAAATTATTAGAAAAAGAATCAATCAAATTTTCAATAACCACTATTAGTAAAGTTAAAAATAATGTGGCGAGAGTTAAAAGAAAAAACGATTTAAATGGTAAATAAGCTAAACGTCGACATCAACCATTTAAGCTAAATTTACAACAAAATTTTCAGATAAAAACATTATAAAAAAACAATCTATGAACTATTTCTGAATTATCTAGAAAGGTTAAGATATCAATAAAGTCAATTAAACGTTACATTGATAAAATATTTAATTTAAAAAAAGTTTCAAAAGGATGCATTATCACCTTGTATGATCAAGAGTAGGTTTTCAAAATCAAAAAAACTTTATGGATTTATTAAGAAAAACTAGACAAAAATCATGACTATTCCACCTTTATGATTGTGATCAAAAATCCAAACATATTTACATAAATATCAAAAAGCACTGAGAGTACCCTATTATGAAAAGAAAAATCTTCCAAAATCCGTCATGGTATGGGGAGGAATTTGTGCAAAATGATTAACATGTCTAATATTTGTTGAATCAGTAGTTAAAATTAATTCAAGTAACTATATAGAGAGTGTTTTAAACCATTTATTAAAAATGATATCAACAGACTAAATTTAAAAAATGACTTTTATTTCCATCAAGATTCTACACCTTGTCACTTTTTGAAAATGACCATTAAACTTTTAACTGGCCAAAAAATCAAATTTATTCATCCTAAAATGTAGACACCAAACTCACCAAATAACGCACCTATGGACTTTTTTACATGGGGTTATAGGTTAAATCAATTAAAAAAAAGAAAAGCAAAAAATTTTACAGGGCTTATTCAGAATATAAAAGATATTGAGGAATATCCCTCAAGAACTTATAAATAAAGCATTAATGTCCTGGTCTAAAAGTTGTAAACCTATTTATAAAAAGGGTCATCATATTGAACATTTAAGAAAAACAAAAATTAAGAATAAAAAAAAGATTGCTTTTTAAATATATTTCCATTTAAATGTCACATGACTGTAGATATTGCATTTATTTATAACTAAATATTGCATTTGTTTTTAAAAGAAATACCAATAAAATTATTATTTAATTATATAAATTGTTGCAATTAACAATAAAGTAATTAATAACAAAATAAAAACCTATAGAAAAAATGTAATTAAAAAAACAAATTAAAAAAGGATTTTAACAAATTAAAATCTCAAACTAAAAAAGGATTAAATAACTACTTTAAAATCTTTGTTAATTATAAACATTAATATAAATTTAAAGCTAGAAGATTATTTTACGCCGCTATTCTGCAACATTACCTAAAAAATAAATATTTTTGTAACAGAGTATGAAAAGCCAAATTAGATATGGATTTCCAATTTATTAATAGTTTTTAATTCCAAATTAGATCCGTAATTATAAAAAAAAACCAATCAGATATCCATTCCAGAAAAAGCAGATTGAATATCTAAATTTTTGGATTTTTTAAATTTAATACCAAAATTAGAATATCCAGTATTTCAGATATTTTTGCTCACCCCTATTATTGCCTTAATGCTGCATTGAATAGAGGCTATTCTAAAAGTAATAGGAGCTTATACAAAATACTGAAGCATGTTTAATACAAAATTTTTTCTATTTTTTTATTTTCATGTATATTGTTTTTTGAATTAAAATGTTTTTTAGTAATAAATGCATACAATAAAAAAACAGTTTTTTGCTATAAGTATTGAATGGTCGCCTTTTTTTAACCATATTTGTATACGCATATATACACAGGGTTCCCACTCCTCCTTAAAAACCTTAAATATCCTTAAAAAATAAAAACCTCCTTAAATGTCCTTAAATAACCTTGAATAAGTTAAAATTTGACTGCTCTCCTTAATTTCTCCTTATTTTTATTATTTTTTAATCATCTAGGAATTTTTATTAAAGTGAATGGGTTATACTTATTAATAAAGAAGAAAATTCTTTGAAAACCTATATATGTATATATATATATATATATATATATATATATATATATATATATATATACACACACAAATAGTATTGCGTACTAAGGTAAGCAATCTGACGTCATACTGAAATAGCCTGCTGCTGGGGGCTTCAGTACATACATCGACTGACAAATAGCCTGACTTGCAGTAAAGTGCTGCTACATCGACTGAGGGTTTGGGATGGGGCAGCAATCGTTTCATTCGTCATTCTTTGTTTTTTTACTTTATATATATATATATATATATATATATATATATATATATATATATATATATATATATATATATATATATATATTAAGTAATATATTAATTTATAATAATTTTTCTGTTTATATTTAAAATTTTTTGAAAAAAGATTCTGTTTTTAATGTAATCGTTTTCTCCTTTATTTTCCTTACTTTAACTTTCAAAAAATTGTCGTTCGCGACCAAATCTCCTTAAATATTAGGAAAATATCTCCTTAAATCTCCTTAAAATTCTTACTTTTAGCCTCAGTTTTAATAGTGGGAACCCTGATACATATGTATGCACATTTGTATGTGGGTTAGTTTGTATGTGGGTTATTTTTATACTTATAATCAATTTTTCAGTATTCTTCTATGTTCTTGTGCCAATTCCTGCATTGATTGTAAGACGACTTGGAGCTGACTTTTCTTCTTTTTCTGGATCATCAAAGTAGGTTCATTATTTATTTGAAAATTGTTTTAAAATATTTAATGCAAAATTTGTTATACCATTCTCTCGATCATGAGCTAATATATATATATACTTAGTAAATATTAAAATTAAAAAAATACAACTTTTTGTTGGTACTCAGAGTTTCATGCCTGGCTGCAATCATCAGCCATATATTTTTAAATCAAGAAATTAAAAAACCAAATATATATATATATATATATATATATATATATATATATATATATATATATATATATATATATATATATATATATATATATATATATATATATATATATATATATATATATATATATATATATATATATATATATATATATATATACAGGGCTTGTGACGAATAAAAATAAAATATGTTTTCATCGAGCGTAAAATTAAAATATGTTTTCATCGAGCGTGATTATGTGCGCTCGAGATAACGTCGACGAGCGCACTTGATGTTTTCTCAAGATTAAAAATATTCTGCAGTTTCAATTTTCTTATAATGGTACTAATTTTTTATTATTTTATTTGTGCATTTTTGTATTTGCATTGAATTTCTACATGCACATTCCATCAATGAAGTTAGTGCCTATTAACGACTTCAAACTGCTCATTCATTAGGTTAGTGCAAAAAAGAACGACGTAGTGCTTTTTTTATTTTATATTATACTAGCGCTTCAATAATATAAAATCTTTATTAAAAAATCTTTTTTTCATATTTTATTAAAATAAAAAAAAAAGTTATTATTTGTTTTGCCCCGATCTCTTGGACGAGCGTTATTTTATACGCTCGTTATAAGCTGAACGAGCGTTGTTTATCGCGCCTGGAACGTTTCAAAATACCATTTACGGGTGCGTTTCACGAGCGGAGCGCGATCGCGCTCGATTCATCACAAGCCCTATATATATATATATATATATATATATATATATATATATATATATATATATATATACATATATATATATATATATATATACCTTCCCAGGTACGTCCACGCCTAAAGTAATTTTTTTAGACAACTTGACCACCTTTTTATATAGTAAGCGCTTTAAGAATTTGCGGCAAAATAAAGCTATAAGAAACAATAGAATAAATCAGCAATACTCAAAGAAACAAATCGAAGACTAAATGAAATAGAAAATCTAAAAAAAATAAGCTAAAATAATTTAATATTAAAAAAAGAAAATTGTTGCCAAAAAAACAAACCTAATTATTTACTGTTTTTGTTTTCTTATTTTAAGAGCGTTTTTTTATTATCCACTACTATAATTTGTATAATTCAAGAAAAAAAGTAGATAAGAATATAACGAAAATAAAAATACTTTTTGGTAAACAAATTTTTGCAACTTTTTTCAGTCAGTATGTAAAGGAAATTTTTATTTTATTTTAAAAATTGCGCTAGATACACAGGTAATTTTTTTAATTTGTTTTTAATTGTCTTTGCTAAGCTTTACTTTTTTTTTATTAATACACAGGAAAGCGAGAAAACTAATTGCTAATTATTTCTTAAAAAAAAAAAAAAATTTAAAGTTTTTGATGTAAAAAAATGAAGCGAAGCTGTAAAATTTTGTGGGCTAGTTCATTGTTAATTTATTGAAATTTCTTAACGAAATCTTTAGGATATCAAAACTTTTAATTGTTTTTAAATCGTTATAAAAGATGTTTTTTTTCAACAACTTTAAAAAAAAGAATACAAAAGTGGTATAAAAATTTTATAACAAAAAATGTTTTTTTAATTTTTTTTTTTAATTTTCTAGTTTATAATTAATATTTCATTTTAAACTTGGTATTTTGTTACAATTTTGTTTTCTTTTTAAGGATTTCATTTTTAAAATTTTAGAATTCTTTAGTAATTTATCATTAATTTAGATATCTAAACAATAATCATATAAAAATATAGAAGGCTATACTTGAACACATATAGATAACAATGCTTAAATTGGTTACTTTTAAGTATAACAATAGAGCAACACAAAATAAAATTATTCTAAAAACAAAATTATGGTAATAAAAGATGAGTACATTCAGCTGTTAAATTAAAGCTTATAAACATCATCTTAAGAATAAACAATATTGTCTGTAAACAAAGTCAAAATAAGCAATTTCTTAAAAAAAAGTATTGCATAAGTTAGTTTATTTATTATTTAATTATTATCATAATGCAGGATAAAAATATAAAAAATGCCATCGGTTGGAAAATCAATAAAATAAATAAATATATATATATATATATATATATATATATATATATATATATATATATATATATATATATATATATATATATATATATATATATATATATATATATATATATATATATGTATATGTATATGTATATATTCAAACACACACACACATATAAAATAGTTTTTGAAACCAAAAACTACAATTATTTTTTGAAACAAACAAAAAAAGTTTACCAAATAATATTTGAATGTTTAAGAAGTATTCAAATAAAGTTTTAAAATAATGCAGAAATAAAAAAAATATTTTATATTTCTGTTCATTAAAATCAGAGATTTTAATGAACAGAAATATAAAATAAAATAATTATTCAAAATTTTTGTATATAACTGAGAACATTTTCTCTACCAACTGTCATTTTTTAAAATTTTTTCTTTAATCTTTTCTGTTTTTTTTTTTTGTTTTTTTTAGCTTTTTCCCGCTGATGAGAAGCCATTGCAATAAATGAATTATTTTTAAATAAATTTTAAAATACCAATTGTGTATTCACTATTTTTTTTTCCTTTCTATTATTGAATTGTAATAAAAACAAACGTTAACCTGTCTTGCAATAAATGCGAATAAAAGTATTCAAGCAATGCTTTCATTTTTCAATAGCATTTATAAAACAATTTCTTTTAGTATTAAGTATTCAGTTTATATTTTTTTAATAATGTATAATATTTGTTTTGACATTAAATAAAAAAACTCAACATTAGATTGGATATTATCAAAACATTAGATATACAAAAGTTGGAATGATATGATTGTCAAGCAAAGGGTCAACTTGTTTGATGGCTATATCAGATAAAATGCAACTAATAGAATCAAGAGATGATATTGATGAAAAATTCTTAGCAAACAATTCAGCTTTGTATTTTGGTGAGGTGACTAAGTCTGAACTACAAGTCTGTACAAGAGAGGTGGAATAACAGATTTGCCTTTATTATTGATACTGTTAAAGATTCTCTAGAAGTCATGAGAGCCTAGTTTTTGTGATGAAATATTTCATGACCTTAGAATAGAGGACTTTGGCGTTAGACAAAACCTATTTGCAATGGTTTCTTGCAATAATAAACAGATGTCTGTTTTTAGGAGAATTGTTTTGCTGGTAGATATGGAAGTTACGGTTTCGATTTGAAATTGCAGCAGCATAATATGAGGAAAACCATGGAGAAGTGTGAGGCCTGACCTGATATTGTCAAGAGGGAATAAAAGATTCTATGCCAGCCTGAATCTAAGAAGTTATGTAAGAAGCACATTTGTAAACAGGAAGATGAAAGATTTCTACCCAAGGGCCATCACAAAGAAAATCACGGAAAGAGTCCCAGTCAGCTTTAAGGTAGTTGTAAGAGGTAC